CTTCATAATTTCTTAAAGATGAAAGTTTTAGCAAACATTTTGGGCGTATTTATAAAATCAAATTTGGAGGGGCTGCAAAAATATTTTTTCTGTCTCATATAGAATAAATAACAAAACAAGCGTCAATGTTTTGATGGGAAGGATTTTAAATAAAAGTCATGACTCAATTATTTCCCCAATTCTTTTTGGTGTTTCCTTTACTTTCAATATTGATTTGTCACCAACTATTTATACTATAATATGAAATATTTCTAGTGTAACGGAAATCCTAAATTAATTGATTTACTATAACTGAAGCCTTGGTGAATTCAATTTATTCCTTTTGATATATGGATGCCCCCAAATGCCCTGGTACGGCCGAGAGTGGGGAGAGTCCGCTCTCCCTCTCGAAATGCTCTCACATGGCCACGCGTATATAGCCTCTGCCAGGGAAGTCCTACTCACTGCCTTCTCGTGGTGGAGGTGTTGTTTACGAAAATGAGAGGACGAAAAGCGAATGTCCGGCGCTTTAACCGGACCCCAAACCAATGGTGCACATGGGCTTCAGTATCCTGCGGGAGCGAATGGCGTATGAACCAATTTTTGGTCGCTGGCTTCCATGGGACTGCATCTCCTCACGATGCTCCACTGCCTTGTGGGTTAGACGTTCAGGTCGAAGGCTCGGGGTGTGGCCCCCTAAGAAAACCACCTGCTTCGGTTTGGGCACCCGGGCAGTATCACAGCCCTCACACAAATCAATTGAGATTCGTGTGGCGCATATGTACTTGGTGCCTCCCTGTACCTATACTTATGTGTTAAATTAAATAAATAAATTATATATGGAAGTCATCTTCCGGTTAGCTAATTTTTCGTATAGTATTTAATTTGACTAAGATTTCTCACTGCTATTAATTTTATCAACGTTCTGACCTCTTTGCTTTTAGTCTTGTTTATTATTATATGGGATAATGTAAAGTAGGACAACGTGAAGTGTTTTAAATTGTTACTACGTTCTTAGCTCAGTTTCTGTGCCTAAATCAATACAGTTTGTTATAATATGTTGTTCAATAAACTGAGTAATATCATATTGAGTCAGGAAATCCAAACTCTTCTTTCACAGACATGCTGTTATACTACTTAGTAGTCCAAAGCATTCAAGCATGGTGTTTTAGGATACTAATCATTCTCTAACTATTGACCCAAAGATCTTAGAAACAAAAAGTCATCACAGTCGTGTTATTTTGATAGACAACGACTAAAGTAGATTCCCACAACTTTTGCCTTTTCAGAATCCCGGTATTCACATGCCCCAACAGTCGAAAGTTTGAGTTTTCCAACTTACCTAGTTCAAACCTATATTTATCAACTTTGGACAGCAGACATTGGCTTTGACCCTCTCATTTTTGTAAAACATCTATGTTAAGGATGTACGTAGGGCTGATCTAGTCATGACTTTAAATATATGATCATATTAAAGTATTTTGAAAGGAAAAGTTGCGTCTTTCTACTCTGAATACTGTCCTTCCTAATAGTTGGAATACAAGAAACCGACAGTGATAAGTAAATATTAGAAGATAGTCGTGTTAAGTTCTTCTACATATTTTTTTCTATTTCGACTTTCTTTAGAGTGTTTCTTTACTCACCTAAGTAAAAAGTTTTATTGAAATTTGTCATATGACGTTAATGGCTGTCTGCAAATATAGAATGTTACATTCAAAGATTTATTATTATTATTTATTTTAACACAGGTATAGGTACAAGGAGGCACCAAGTACATATGCGCCACACGAATCTCAATTGATTTGTGTGAGGGCTGTGATACTGCCCGGGTGCCCAAACCGAAGCAGGTGGTTTTCTTAGGGGACCTGAACGTCTAACTCACAAGGTAGTGGGGCATCGTGAGGAGATGCAGTCCCATGGTAGCCGGTGACCAACGATTGGTTCATACGCCATTCGCTCCCGCAGGATACTGAAGCCCATGTGCACCATTGGTTTGGGGTCCGGTTAAAGCGCCGGACATTCGCTTTTCGTTCTCTCATTTTCGTAAACAACACCCCCACCACGAGAAGGCAGTGAGTAGGACTTCCCTGGCAGAGGCTATATACGCGTGGCCATGTGAGAGCATTTCGAGAGGGAGAGCGGACTCTCCCCACTCTCGGCCGTACCAGGGCATTTGGGGGCACATTCAAAGATGTGATAATTGAACTTTTCACTTCACGCACCAATGAACTAGAATAATTCGATTACGCTATAATAAAACAAAATGTTAAGTATATAATTTATTTGTATACTACCTTTTCAAAATATGATCTATTTTTTGTTCATAACCTTATTATAAAGTACTTACAACTAGTATAAATCGTTTGGAAAATACCTATTGTTAAAGTCATATATATATATATATATATATATATATATATATATATATATACGAATCGGTTAAGAAGATTGACCTCAGTCAACAGACGACTCAAAGTCTTTTGAAATAACCCACATACCTTATCGTAAACCGTTTGCTACTTGTCAGTTATTTTCACCTGCTTAACATATGCTTCTTTTTGTTCATAGTATGTATCTGTTTTTTTCTGCTAAAGTGACAACTTTTATTTTTAAATTCACTTGGTATTGTTTACTTGAATCTTCCCATCGATGTTTAGGATTGTAAGTGGTTAGTCTCTTATTGGTATATGTGCATACTGTGTGTATTACCTCGAAATTGCATTAATTCATAAGCATTATAAGCAAAGATAGATAGTGACTAGCAGTGGAAGCCAGGACTCGCGTTTCGTCCCATCGCACAAGCAAATGGCTATCAGGACTTAGTATCTAAGTGGATAATGCGGTAGTGTTTGAAGCCAACGGTATTGGGTTTCGAGTCCCAGAGTGAACACCAACTCGGAGATGCAGGTACATCCATCTGACAAGTCTCAAATATTACGAAATGCGCGTCCTGGATTCCATTGCTAGCCACCATCCATCTTTGTTTATTATTTTTATTTTTGTTCGATGTTGAATAAAGAAAATCTAGAAAAAAAGAATCTGGTGAATAGTAAATTATGTAACTTGCTCTGTTTGTAGATAATTGAATAGATGAGCAATTTATCTCAAATTTCGGTTTAATTAATTATTTTTCTCTACATATAAGTAAATTTTCTTTCTATTTAATAAAATATAAAATACGACACATGAGCCTATTACTATGATGGAAAATTGACATTTATGTAGTACTGTATGATAATACTGTATTTCTATACAATTAGTCATTTTTATTTTGTAGCCAAACAATTGTTAATTAAGTAGAATCAATTTTAATTTTTCTTTAGAAGACAATTTTCATTCTTCTAATAACTATAAACATCAGTGGTGTATGAAATTATTCAATAAATAATCACCTGTCAATCACACTTTGTTGTGTATGTTGGAAAAATTGCACATCTTTGTCTAAATATACATCTGTGGGTATACATATAATTAAAGGATGGCCCACTTGAATATCTGAGCTACCTGCTCCTGCCATCTGGATATTTCAACAAGTTATCTGTTTTTTGTTTGTTTTATCACATCATCATTTCTATTAATCGCATAACGTATTCAGGTGTGTTTATGAAAAGTTTACGAACTTTCGCTATGCAAATTACAAAAAAGCCCGGTCAGAGATATCGTGGTCGCTGGCAATGTGTCGAAAAGAATTTACATTATTCAGATTTCGGTTCTTAAACTTCTAACTGGCAACCACTCAATATTTATCATCAGGAGTGTCAAACAATTGATTATTCTGATGTAGAACGTTTTTATCGATCATTATCTATCCTGTCAAGAAATTCTTATCTGTCCACACTTGCACCTATATAAGAAAAAAATTAAAGGGAAGCTTTGTACATTCGAATCAGGTCATAGCCGTGTTGGTAGGTGTAGATTAGCAGGTTAAATTCTGCGCGGTCGTCATAACCAGTGGTTTGATACGTTGGGCAACATGATTGAGAATCGGTCTTAACAGTGCAGATATACCCACTCTTCCCTTAGTTTTTGAGTTCCGAAATTCTTTTTTACTTTGTTATTTCATGAATTCGTGCTTTTCTCTCAAATAATTGTCTGTCTAGTCTTTTCTACTACCACTGATACTATTAAAATTGCGACTACTCCTGGCATTTGACTCGCTAATTTCACCTTGCTGTTGTGATATGGTGTGGCTAACTGGGTCGACACATCAGGTTCTACATTGCGTATGCCTGTTGTCGATTGCCGAATTCAACCGTTCTGGGGGATACAGACTTGGTAGTTGGGGTCTATGCAATAGTCGTAATCAATCTCTAGAAAGGTTGAGTGAAATCTGAGAATATATTATGTGATTGTTGATTGTTGTCACACTATCTTATTTCCAAACTATAGAGAAATTAAACTTTGACATGTACCATTCAATTCATTTATTTACTGCAGAGTAATTATTTTACAAATCAGGGCTTCCTCTTTATTACTGCTAATTATTGAACACCCAAATCAATGCACCATTTAGCTTGGTGGATATACTACACAGGTATTGTAATTGATATTATAATTATTATCCATATCACAATATTGATCATTAACTAACCATGTATTATTTATTGATTCATACTCAAAGCATGTTTATTATACTCACTTAGTTTTACCAAACAACCAAATTACTGTTAGAATAAAGTTTCTTTCACATAGTGGAATTTAATTTCATGTGTGTTGTATAAATCGATGTATAGTATGCATACATCTTCACCATGCATCTGTTTTGATCACATTATCCTTTGTTTATTGATTTCCTTATATCTTCTTTCTCCTTGCTTGTGTAGTTGTATTTTTTGTATAACAGTTTCTTTTAATAATTTTTTCAGTCTGCCTGGAGTATCTATTTGTAATAAACGTCCTTCTAAAAGGTGTTTGTGGGAATTTTAAAAAAGTATTCTAATATTTTTTTATTATCAATTTTGTTTTTGTGCTTTTTATCATCTAAACTTTTTCTTCTCTTGCCTTCTTATACTCTTTTCTAGGATCAGAAAGGACAATTATACCAGATTGGAATTAATAGAGATGAATTAATTATTCATCAAGAATTTGTTGAGTCTTTATCAACACGTTTCAGTTGGTTAGTTTAACTTTGAATAATAATATTTATTATTATTATTATTATTATTTTCGACTGTGCATAGTAAAATTGTGGGGTGGAGCTACTAGTAATTATCAACAGATAATTCTCAACCAAAATAAAGCATTGTGTTCAGCTTTGTTTTATACCTGTACAGGTGAATTCAATAAAAAAATAAACGGTATCAAGATATAACCCAATAATGATTTTAAAGGATATGTACTGACAAAGCCTATGTCAGCAAACGTATCTATACGATAATTGCTGTGGTCTCCTAACACAATTTATCATTCTTTCGTGTCGTATTTTCTTTTTTGAAGTGTAGTTCCTATGTTCGATTTTTCACTTTTCTTAAATGCTATTTCCCAACCAACCTATGCCTCTTATCTGGTTGATTTTCCATCATTGTGTTGGTGTACATTCAAACTGCAGCTAACATTGATAATCAAGTCAATTTCGAACAGAATGACATAACTAATTGAAATAACATTTGATTTTTCCGTTATTTTCAATATATAAACTTAAATATAGCTACCAAGTTGTGTTTGTTCCTTTTTTATGTTACCGTTATTGTTGAATTATTCATTTATTTATTTGAACACATAAATATTGGTACAAAGGGGCGCCAGATACATATGCTCCACACAATAATAATGAGAACGTGAAGAGATAAAGTATGTAATGTGTGTATAAGAAAAAGGGGAATAATAATGAACAGAAATTGCTGTATGATAAGGAAATAATGATAATTTGAGAGACAGTTCAGTTAACAAAAGTACAGCCAGAGAGAATTCTTCCAGTTAAAGAAGTTACGTCTTTTTTGAAGTAAAAGAAAGTTACAACAGGATCACCACTTGCTTCTATTCCGAACCATATCTGATAACGTTTCTAGCCACTGTGTTACACCATCTCTCGGACCCCAGCCAGGGAGTCGTGAAGGACCAACACAAGCCAGCCCTTTGCAGCTTTCTTTCATACCACGACACCATGTCATATACTGACCACCTCTCCGCTTTTTCTAACCAGTTCCAGAGCCGGCAAATAATGCACGGCGTGGAATTCTCTGGGACGACATTCGTAGAACATGTCCAAGCCACCGAAGTCGGTGTTTCAAGATGGTGACACCAACTGCTTTATCGTCTCTGTGACTGTGCCCGAACACACGATGCCGAACCTCTGCATTACTAACATGGTGTTGCCACTGGATATCAGCAATCCTTCGGAGACAACGATGATCAGACACAGAGAGTCGTCTAACATCCTCAACTCGGAGAGGCCGAACTTCACAAGCATAAAGAAAACTGCTCTCGCCGACGCGTTGTAGACCCAAACTTTTACAGCCAGACTGACATCACGAAGGTGCCAAGATGACCCAGATTGGCATAAGTCACTCTGGCTTCCGCTATACATGAATTAATCTCATCACTCATGCCACCACCAGCACTTATGCAGCTGCCTAGATACACGAACTTCTGCACTACTTTTATCTGCTCACTTCTCAGGGTGAGTGCAGGATCAGGGGTCATGCCAGTCTTGTGAAAGTATTTTGCACTTGAAAGGTGTAAAGCAACATACCACACCTACGGACATTAATTTCCAACTAATTAAGTGCGGATTGCATACCTTGAACATTATCGCACAGTAAGACAATATCGTCGGCGTACCCAAAGTCAGGCGCCGCCATTACTTACATCCATCACAGCTGTTTTCAGATTGTCGTCGATGGCAAAATTGACGAGGAATGGCGAGATTGTGCAACCCTGCCTAACACCACTACTTAACTGAAACAATTGAGAGAAGTGGTTGTATGCTCTCACTATGGCTGAGGTGTTTGTATATAGGGCTTTTAAGATGTTAATAAACTTCTCAGACACACCATTCTTCAATGGATAATCCCAGAGAACAATACTGTCCAACGAATCGAAGGCAGCCCTGATGTCTGGAATCTCTACGATTGTTTGCCTACTTATTGGCGTCCGGTCATCTTTACAGATTTTTTCGCTCACACCAGACTTCTTGCCGTCAGTGGTTCGGATGCGTTGAAAAAGCTTCCGGTAGTTACCAAATGCAGCTTCTGCTTCCAACTAATTGGCACGCTCCGACCACCATGATTCTCGGTCCTTATGCAAGCTTTTCCCAATTTCATTACTTATATATATATATATTGGAATAAAAAACCTAGGAGACAGCATCGAACCTGGATTCTCGAAATGAAAGATTTATATCATAGCTGGTTGTATGTGTAATACTGTCAGAAAAAGATGAGCCAAGTATAACTCGAATGAAAATAAAAGACTCGATATTTGACTGTTTGGTTTTCTATATCGTTCTCCAAATTATCCATATTTTACTATGTAAATTCTAAAATTATCTACCAATTACTACCATTGACCTAATTCAATTTAATTCTATACTGACTATTTAAAAATCATTTATACACTAATTATGTAACCTATCAATCAACAGATCAGAAAATAAGCATTTACTCTTGCAATATTTAAATAATACTTGTTAGAATCGTTATTCACTTTTCATGTTCTGAAATAATAAATAAACATAACAAAAGCCCTCCACATATATATATTTATGCATAATAATTGATTTCTTTCTTTTTTCAAACGAGGAAGATTAATTGAAACACAAAATTATAAGAGATTAATTACCAGGAAATCAGTCACAATTGTTCATGAATATTTATAAGGTTGATCATTTATTACGCTTTATTTTCCTTCAATAGGAAAAGATAGTTATAAGGGCTGGATGGTAGAAAAAGTGCAATAATAGTTTTTGTAAACGTCATTTATTTATTTCTTTTTATCGAAGAAAACGGGATGGAAAACTTGAAATAGTTAGAAAAAATCATTTTTAGAAAAGTGTATTTTGATATATTATGTTGTTCCTGTGTTTGTGTGTGTGTGTCACTGTGTACATTACCAATACGTTGTGTAAATTTTGTTAATTGCCACAATTATACTTCTAAATTGATTTGCTTCCAATTTCTATCACAAGTTTTTCCGTTTTGTGTGTTATGAGATAAGACAATGTAACCTAATAAATAAGAAAAGGTTTCTCAATTTGTTTTGTTCGTTTGTTTTTATATACAGTCTGAAGAATTATTCATTAGAGATTAATATAACACTGAGGCGATTCTGTTATTATGACTGGTGACATATGAAACCGGTCATCACGAATAACTTTGAATAACCGTCAAACTATGTTTTAAATCGACTGAAATTACAAATGTTTACCATTGAGCTCTACTTAATAACCTGTGGGTTAAACGCTCTCTGCGAGACCGAATATCCCTAAAATCGACCTCTGACTATGTTGTATTATTGTAATGTGTGGAATTTCATAAAATAGAGTGTAAGATCTGTTCAGTCCCCTTGGCTTTCAATCCTTGACGAAAACCACCCACTAAAACAAAATTAGTTAGCCATCATCATCTCCAATCGGTATCAAAGTTCAATGAAGGTACCATAGTCGTAATGTGTAATTGATTGAGCTCTTACTAGGTGATTGGACATCTGAACTTCCAATCATCGTGTTTCACATTTGAATCCCATACTATCTAATTCATTTTGAGCAGTCAGATAGTATCAGTAGCCTATTTTACAAAGTTAATAACGGATGAAATGTGAGTACATAAATTTGTACTTGATTACTTAGTAAGATTAATTCATACCGAAAATATATTAATTGTTGATGCGTGGATGCGCACTACTGAGGAGTCCCACAACTGAACGATACGAACGTCCAGTGCTTTCAGGTTTCCCATGGTGGTCTAGCTTCAATTGACTCATGACGTCAACTAATGAAATTTCTTTATTAATTACTGATAATTCCATCATGTAACATTCCGAATTACTATTTCACTGTACAATACTTTTATGAATCCTGGTAGAAATGGGGAAAAAACTCATGATCAAAATAATAAATAGCAACGACCAATCAGTTTATCAACAGTTAGTTTTATCTAACTCACTGGGTTTTTAACTTTCATCGGCCCGAATCCAGTAGTGAATTAACTTGAAATCTAAGCGTTTAAATTAAAGTTCATTGATAACAAAATATCTTGACAACTTTTCGATTCTCTCTTGTTCATTATATGATAAATATTCATTGCTTCTTATCCTTCTGTATATAGAGAAAAGTTTGATTTCTAGGCATAGTTTGACTCGTTTACCTTTCGATAGTCTTCGTTTCATTTGCTGAATATTTACAGTAATAAACGTGGTGTATACGAACAAACAAGAAATCTATCTGTTAATTGATTTTAAAGTTATCAGTTTACTTCTATATATATTTCATCTTTTTATTGTAGTTGATTTGTTCTATATTTCCCAGTTTCTTCGCTTTTTTAATTCCACAAATATTTGTTTTAAAAAAAAACAGGCAAGTTTTGGGCAATGCTATTGCTAATCGTTCAATTGTAACACTTCCAATATCCATGAGTGCAGAAAATGTGAGTTTTGTATACATTTATTTAGAATAATGTCTTCATCTTATTCATTTCAATGAATTAAAGTAAATAAGATTACTCCTTGTGAATGATTTTTTTAAATTAGTAGGAAGTTTGAAATTTTAATCGCACGAACACAAGACTTCATTACTCTGGTTCTTTTAGACACCAGGCATTCCACAGTTCTACTTTACAAACTATCTTATGTTAGGACATTTTTCAAATTAAAATAAAATAAGCTCTACTTTTAACTTATAAGTTAGTTGTATATTTCACAGTCATACTACTTTTATCGGTAAACTTAAACAACGCCACTATGACTAGATGATTTATGACGTTTAACAAATGCCTTGAAAAACATTTAACAGCAAACCTATAACTTTCGTGAATCTGTAAACCAGTTGTAAATTCTCAGAGTGAAAATTAAAATGTCATGTTTTATCGCCCTTACGATTTTCCAGTCTGACTGTCCTTGACTGACTGTTAGCTACTACTAATTATAAGCTGTTATGTGACCTGAAATGCCTTCAAAACGATTATCAATCTACGAACTAGAGTCCCATGAAAATATATCGGAAGTTTATATTTCAACTGAATTTACAATTCTATGGTTAATTTAAGCATATAAATCAAATCTCGATGCATTCACGCATATTTATACATCTGGTCACTTTTGTGCAGGTAGCTACTCACTCAAGCAAAGAGACCAACAAGCTCCACCATCACATTACTGAGTATTGCAGACTGTGGTTAGGTAAACATACAAGTTAGTCTATTAAAAATTTGGGTTGTCATAATCAGACAACATAGGAACAAAAACAAATAAATGTTTAGCAGTAATGGTGAAAAACCGATAGATGGTAGAAAGGTCGGATATTGGAAACCAAGATGTAGAGTCAGTCTGTGAGGTCATATATCGTTGTACTGAGTTATGTAGGTAAGTGTAGACACCCAGATCGTGGTTCATACGACTATCTTAACCAAGGGTCGGAAAAAGGTTCTGTGGATGAGTATCAGTTTCAATGGTGCTGATTCGTTTTCTCTTCGTCTTCCTATCGATATTGAGTGTATAAAACTTCTTCATTCTTTCTATTTATTCTTTTTTCTCTAATAATATTGTGTATACCCCATATTTTGTTATTTATTTTTAGTTTTTATTTTAACACATAGATATTGATACAGGGAGGCACCAAATACATATGCCCCACACAGACCTCATTTGATATGTGTGAGGGCTGTGATACTGCCCGGTTGCCCAAACCGAAGTATGTGGCTTTCCTAGGGGGCCACACCACGAGCCTTTGACTTAATGGTTTGACCCACAGGGTAGTGGAGCATCGTATGGAGATGCAGTCCCATGGTAGCCAGTGACCAACGATTGGTTCATACGCCATTTCCTTCTGGATACTGGAGCCCATGTGTACGATTGGTTAGGGATCCAGTTAAAGCGCCGGACATTCGCTTTTCGTTCTCTCATCTTCGTAAACAACACTCCAGCCACGTGAAGGCAGTGAGTAGGACTTCCCTGGCAAAGGCTATATACGCGTGGCCATGTGAGAGCATTTCGAGAGGGAGAGCGGACTCTCCTCACTCTCGGTCATACCAGGGCATTTGGGGGCATATTTTCTATAAAAAAATCGACACTATCAAAACGTTTACTACTACGCTTTCATTTGTGTTTATATTATGTGACACCTTGGACGGATACACACGTGTCTGGTTCTGTGATTTTTGTGACACACTTTTAATGATCAAGCTGTCTTTGTGAATCCAGTCCCACTAGACGTACTTCTGCACAATTTCATCATGGCACTTATTATCACCCTCGTTTCATAGGAAGCTTTATCTTAGCACACGCACCAACCTAATTGATTCTGATGATATCTTTTGGATTCATTTATGTGATACGATCCTCAATGATGAGACTTAACAGTCAGATCAGATAATAAGTGCCCTACAACTAATTCCCCTTTATCGTCTATATCATTTTGGCTTGTTTATTTTGTATTCATATTCTGTTCATAAGCATGTAGTTTAATTACTCGAACAGCTATGGTGGAACTATAACCTATGAACAAACCAGTGAAACCACTGCCTTCTCGCGGCGGGGTGTTTACGAAATTGAGAGGACGAAATGCGGATGTCCGGCTCTAACCGGTTTGGTGCATACGGAGGATCCACCTAGGGTAGTTGGAAAACCCTGATTCCAAACCAATGTAGGCTCCAGGATCCTGTGGGAACAAATAGAGTTTGAACCAATTATTGGTGACCGGTTATCATGGGACTGCATCTCCTGACGTTCGGTTAGAGAACCCGGGAAGTATCCCAGCCCTCACTCAAATCGAATAATTTATATGGCACATATCTATTTGGTGTCCCCTTTGTATCAATAAGTAAGCAAGAACCAGTGATCTATGAAAATAAATTTGATCTTGATGTTAACAATCTGTACGATATATATGAATATTCGTCAATACTTGAACAAATAGTTTGATAAAAATCGGGCGCTGAGTATATGGAAGACATTATTTATGAAAATTATATTTGAAATAATATCTTAGCTATTGAAATTTGAATAATTAAAATGTTTCTCCCAGCAAACAGTGCCTGAATCTCTTTTTTTAATCTGATCATATACTTCGATTCATACTGACTCATCTCTCATTCATATTTGTAGTATTATACATAATTGATCAGTTTCTATAACTAACTGACTGACTAATTTTAGTATTCGTTTTATTACTAACCCACCGTTAATTTTTCCAATACATGTGTATTTAGATACAGTGTTGAATGTTCTAAAATCATGTGATTGTTATGAATGCTTACATATTTAGATGTAAAACTTATCTATCACTTTAAATGCTAAGATAAAATAAGTCTAATTTAAGAGAAATATCTTTGTACTCATTTTGTAGATCATCAAATTAACACACTTCATAATTTAGCGTAAGTTAGTTTAAGAAGTGTTTAATACGATGTGTAGTGGAGTCATAGTGATTAAGTCGTTCACCTTTTAACTATGGTGTCGCAACCTCGAGTCCTGTGTCATCTACTTCAGTCTAGGACAGACTGGTATTATTAATAGCCTTCACAAATAAAGTGCGACTCAAAGTTGAATACATAAATCTGTACTAGGTCATGAAATTAAATCACAGAGTCAAATAATTCATTTGGGGGTTACTCGTAGTTTCAGTTCTCATATAATATCTTCCGAAAGGCTTGGTCACCTAACTAATAGTTTTTTCTATTAATCCATGAAATGGAAACTAAATCATTTCTTTCCCTCATTTTTAATTATTATTTGATTTTCACGATGTGTACTTTTCAATGAAGTACAGTTTATAGATTTCCTTCATTATTATGTTTCTTTACGTCTTTTATTTCTGAAGATAAGTGATATATACCGCCGCATGTTTCATCTTGATTTCTGTGACTATATGAAATTATTTTCTATCCATTCCTACTGAATAAGTATTAATCTTTCTAAACATACTATCCCAATAAGTACAATGAAATTTAAATTATATGTATACAGGCTGAAATGTTGCAGCCAATGGCATCAATTCATTAGTTTATTATTACGTATTGTAATAGTCTGGGTGCAATAAATATGTCGATATTGTAGACTTCTATTTGTTATTCGATTGATATATGCTGCATAAATATAAGTCTAGTGGAGAAGACCAATTTATTGTTTGATACAAATTACAGAATGTCTTCGTAAAATACGAAAACCATACATTAAATACTTCATTTGTATATCTATACTGGCTGTAACAATCATCCCACCAGGTCCTACCATGCCAGACATCTCGGTTGAAGAGCGGTAAGATTAAAAGCAGAAAACCCAGGGTCCGAGGACGAAGTAGTATTGTTGACTGTACAGAGTTGTGATAGCAGTAAGATGTTTCCTTCAGACAATCAGCATAACAGCGATGCTGCCTTCCTACAAGGAGGATGGAGTTAGAAAGGTTCGACCCTAATATGCGCATCTCATCTTATCCCATGGATTTCCATCTCCGGCGGTAAGGTTTCAATAAGTACGGAGCGGACAAAAAACTCACCAAAAGGTCGTGTGTGACCGGCCTCAAGTAGTTGTCCCTTGTGCATTGAGTCACGCCCCTAGGTCATCAAAACCACCTCTAACCCGATTTGCTTTTCAGGTACCTCCAGAAGGATTCTTCCACGGTTTTGGCAACCGGGAAGTGATAAGTACCCTCATAGCTCTAGCAGCACTCAAGATCACTGTATTCATAGTCAATCTCCCTCTTCGATTTTAATTAATCCTCCTACCTCGACTTTCAACTCTAAACTTCCTCTTTTGACTTCTTCCTCAAATGTCACCATGACCAACGATTCTAGTGCGCGAAACATTGTCTCAGGTCTACTGAATCCTCTTTCCGAACTGCACATTAAAGCCTTCAACGTACGTACCCTATGTCAAATCGGTCAGCAGGCCTCCTTGCCTAAAACCATGGAATCTCGTTCCATTGATGTATACTGTATCTCCGAAACACGCATACAGGATCCTAGTGTGGTCATTCACTTTACCTCACCTAACACCGTCAGTTTATCTGGCAACCCAATGGCTAGTTCTCGTGGACTGACAGGTGTAGGCATGGCACTAAGTACGAGGGCAGAACAAGCACTTTTAGACTGGATCCCTGTTAACAGTCGCCTATGTGCAGTTTAGTCAAACGGCTCCGTAAGAACTTGGAAGGACATGGACACAAGTCATTGCTTTTTCGTCGTCTCTGCATACGCTCCCACTGACTACAGCCTGAATGAAGTGAAAGATTAATTTTACAAAAATCTTTTGAACTTCTTTAAAAAGCTAAACGCTCAAACATAGTACTCCTAGCAGGTGAGTTTAGTGCTCAGGTAATTAGCCTAAACCAAACAGAAAGGCATCTAGGCGGGTATTTTAGTATTCCGGCTCATCGAGCAGATAATGGTGATCGTCTGCTGCAACTGTGCTCAGACAATCGTTTATTTTTAACAAGCACCAATTTTAAGCATAAGGAGAGACATCGTCAAACATGGTGATCTCCTCACGAAGCCAACGATGGACTCAAATAGACTAAATTGCCATCAGTCATCGTTGGAGAGACTCGATAGGAGACTGTCACTCGTTCTGAAATACCTGTTTGGACTCCGATTATGCTCTAATATGAGAAGGTATTTGTTTGCACCTCGCTCGACTCTGGAAAACCACATTAAGTCCCATTAGAGTTGAACTCACTGATGAGAAAGCCAAACGTAGATTCCAGGAACAACTGAGATCACACTTAGGTAGTTCTGAAAACGAGGCTGACCTAGATATTGCTTGGAAAGACATACGAACTAATTCTTCCTTCCTGTACAATATCCTTATACGCAATCTTTCTTTTATATATTACCACCACTTGTGTTAATGAGGTGTGTCAACTTGGACCGATGCATATATGTGTCAGGTTCTACGTTGTAGCTGACTGACTATCAGTCTGTTCTATTTAACAACTAATAGGTTATAACTGATGGCAGTGTTCTGAATTACAAACGATCGATCCATTCTTTTGTATAAAATCATCTGAATAATCTCGATCATTTACGCATTAGCTTGACTAACACAGTTTATAACATGCCAATTTCGATTATCACTAATTGCTTGATAGAGCATATGAAAAACAACAAACCAGGAAAATGTTAGTCTACCACCGGTATGATTATGGACATTGCCGTATTTTGTCAGTCTTTAAAACATTGACACCTGCATGAACGTTTCCCTTTTTATCTTCTCAAAGTTTTTATTTTTACGAGCTGAAATGTTGGGAATGTGAGATCAACTATGTAAGGGAAAGTAGCGTAACATTTCTAATCGAAGTAAATAATTTAAAGAGTGTGCATTCAATCAAGTAATAAATAAAAATGAATTTGCATGTAGCTATATTATCGAATTTATTATTTTAGGTGTTAATTTACAGTGTCAAAATTCTTAACAGAAAGATATGTATATAGTCGTAATAAGAAAAAGTCAATAAACTCTACTCAAACATACTTTTTCTTGTGGTTAGCTTAAATATGTTTAGGTTGTATGTCTGTACATAACTGAGTAAACGTAATTTTTCAAAGAAAATAACAAAATGTTTAATTCTCCTTACATTTACATACGAAATCCCTAAAAAACACTACGTATCATATGATGGTATAGTGGTATGTTATGACTGTATCTCAAGTTGATTAGATTCAAGACTTGATCATTATAATTGAATCTAGTCATTAGATGTTGTCATTCTAGCCATAACATGTATAAATGTCTAGTGTTCTATGAAGTCTTAGATGGTGGAATCTCCTAATTAAACACATAAGCTATGACTTGGACAAAGAAATTTTCATGTAACAGTTTGTTTTGGTTTTCTAAAGACCCTAAACTACTTCACAAATATCTATAATAATCTTAACTGACTCGATGCAGTTTTTCATGACATATATATTGGTTTCAATGGTTATAAGGGTTCCATTTTGTGTAACTCAATAGTCTGACTACAATATCCATCACAGTTCCCCATATGAATTTACGATCAGCATTTACAGCTGAATAATTTCTCATTTTCCAACTATTATCTAGTTGATTTCCTTCAGTTTACCATATAAATGATCAAATATTATCGATGTCTTCCCCAATAACTTCCTAACAAACAATCGTCTCACTAATAGTATGTTGTGAAACGTCCTTCGTTTGTCCAACATCGAAATATTACGAACACTTTAGCAACTCAACTACATACCCATTGCCCCATACTCCGTTAATGCCACTCATTTCTCAACTAATCAAAACCAGCTTTCTCCTTATACTTATGACTAATCCTTTTCCTAATTATTCTCCTATTATTGTACGTTTTTTGTATTTTAATCTTTAGACATAATGTATGTATGTCTAGCTATTCATTATTTGTTTGTTCATCTAACAATCTTTAAATTCTACAATAAACAATGGTTTTTTATCGATCATTAAAATGATTATCCTAACTTATGGCTACCATACAATGTTGTTTGCATGGGTGCTGGTAACTGATCTTTTTACGTATTCAAAAGCAACAAATTATCTATTATTTTCACTTATTTCTGTCTGTCTTTGTCTACTTTTCTGGATCTTGTTTAATTATATATATATATATATATATATATATATATATATATTGGTTTATCATTTTCGACGATCTTGATTGACTTTCATCTATATGTCTGTATCCATTCTGTTAACTGTCTCACATGCCATTTCCTAACATCACATCATTTTGGTCTTGGACATCATACACATTGTTACATATTGCAAATGTTATGTTAGACTTGTTTTAGTTTTCCAACCCTTGGTTAAGATAGTCGTATGAACCACGATCTGGGTGTCTACACTTACCTACATAACTCAGTACAACGATTTATGACCTCACAGACTGATTCTACATCTTGGTTTCCAATATCCGACCTTTCTACCATCTATCGGTTTTTCACCATTACTGCTAAACATTTATTTGGTTTTGTTCCTATGTTGTCTGATTATGACAACCCAAATTTTTAATAGACTAACTTGTATGTTTACCTAACCACAGTCTGCAATACTCAGTAATGTGATGGTGGAGCTTGTTGGTCTCTTTGCTTGAGTGAGTAGCTACCTGCACAAAAGTGACCAGATGTATGAATATGCGTGAATGCGTCGAGATTTGATTTATATGCTTAAATTAACCATAGAATTGTAAATTCAGTTGAAATATAAACTTCCGATATATTTTCATGGGACTCTAGTTCGTAGATTGATAATCGTTCTGAATATATCAAAAACGTTTATGCTCTCTGACCCATCAGTAGCTTGCTATTCATATAGAATATATCAGAGATCTTCTTGTTCGGGTTTTCTCTCTCATCTTGTTCGATTGTGATGAGTTTTTCATCAATCGACATCTGCTTGTTTAGTAAAACTGAAAACGAAATAGCTTTGAATGAGTGATTTTTGAGTTAAAGCTTTCCATCGGTACCCACTCACTTTACTGCATACCTAACCATCTCATTTTAAGCCTGGCTATCGATAGTTCGAATCCTACCAAATTCATCAGTTCCCTCAAGATTCTCAGTCATTCAGTCAGCTATAACGTAGAACCATGCACATATATGCATCGGTCCATGTTGATACACCTCATTAACACAACAAGATGAACCCCAAATTCATAGAAGTAGTTGATTCAATGGTAAAAATATATAAGAGAAAGATTGCGTATGAGGTACAGGAAGAACAAATTATTTGGTAGAAAGAAAAATACAAAGGAATTTTATTCTCACCGTTTAAGGAAGGACATAGAGTGTATACACCGACGCCATTGTGATCGATTCTGAGCCGTCACCCAGAGTCTACAACCATTGCGCGTCGTGGTAATCGGTGTTCAGGCATACGCAATACGTGACCTAACCATCTCAGTCCATGAAGATTTACAACTTCATCAACTGATTTACCATCATTCCCTAAAACCCTGCGTCTAACCTCACTTACCCGATGATCCCAGCAGATGCGAGCAATATTCCTAAGACATATGCTGTCAAATACTAGCAGCTTACGAGTGTCTTTCTCAAGATTCTAGATTTCCTACAGTGACTACCACACAACCTCCTCGGTCTAAGGTTACCTGATGACTAACAACCGTGCCACGCACAGAATTGCCTACCTACACAAAATCTTTTTAAAAAATACTGGATAAAAATACATAAATTATTACTCTCTTTATAATTTTAGGCAGAAAAATTGATGGATTTTATTGATGTAAAGAGTAGCACTAAAATGAAAAGTGCGTCAAATACGGCTAATCTAAAAGATGATAGAAATAATTCACAGTCTATCGAAAATGACAAAAACATTTCACAACAGTATATTCTTAAATTTCGATTATCTGATGCCAAAATCGCTCAACGATTAGCTTTACAATTATACACGATATGCAATAGAGTGATAAAAGAGTCAAACAATAATACAAGGATACAATGCAATGATGTTGAGAAAGAGGAAGAGGAAGATGAAAACACTACTTCCGGTATGCTGACACGATTTAATCGACAATTTCGTGATACGTAAGTAAATTATTGTTTCTTCAAACTATGCTATGCTATTCTAATATATGCATTAGTTAGAATTTCAATTATAATCCCAAGCATATCATAACGATTAGCCTGATGCGATGTAATTAACTAATTCATTGATAAAAAAGGCATGAAAATTTGTTGTGCAAAATTAATTATAAAAAACTAATGTCTGATCTTAATATCAATTGATTGACAATATCAAATAACGGCTTACTTAATTAATGTTATTTTTAAATGCTTACTTGTAATTTTTCATGTCTGGTTAACTTGTTAAACCTACAATCCTTTTTTCATCTGTATGATTTTTAGTTTTGTTTAAAGAAAAATGAACTAAAAAGTCTGAACTGTTAACTTTGAATTTTAAAAATGATCGACATCATAAACAAACCTGCGTGTTACATAACTATTAAAAGTTAAGTAATCCGAAACAATCTTTTCACCATGAATTATAGTACTTCATATCAACAGTTGGAAAATATAAAACCTTACAAATAATTTGGTAACTATTCAACACGTTGGTCAGTCAGTCATTCAGTAACAACTTGGAACTTCGTACGTACGTACGTACATCATTTCGAGTTGCCATACCACATTAGTATAAAGATGCAGTTGTCGATTCAAATCCCGTAGTGGTAGAGGTGATAAGAGTATATACAGTAATCGGAAAGATCAGGGTTTGAAGATGTTATTCAAGGAGTATAATACAGTGAAATAAATTTGGAAAGAGGAAAAAAGGTACATGAAGAATTCAGAAGATTAGAATTCGGGAGAACACAAAGAGTGGATACCTACGCTATTGCACACGATTTCGAGCCATGTTATTCAAGGTCTCTAGCCACCGGTTGCTATCATCTCGCCGTCCCCAACCAGGTAGTCTACACCTACCAACATGGCTCCAGTATCCTGAAGGAACAAATGGCGTATGAATCAACTTTTGGTCACTGGCTTCCATGGAACTGCATCTCCTCACGATGCTCCACTGCCTTGTGGACTAGACCTTTAGGTCAAAGGCTCGGGGTGTGGCCCCCTAAGAAAACCACCTGCTTCGGTTATGGCTCAGAATAGAAGCCAGTGGCGATCCTGCTGTAACCTTCTTTTACTTTCTTCATAAAAAGTGGTTGTATCTTCCTTAACTGAAAGATCTCTTCTGATTGTACCTTTCCGTTTTCCCCATGATTGTTCTCTCTCTCTCTTTTTAATATCTATAATTCCCCACGTTCATTACTTTTTTTTTCTCTTTTCTCCTTCTCTTCAAATTATCATTGTTTTGTGTGGCGCATATATATTTGGTGCCCCCCTGTACCAATATTTATGTGTTCAAATAAATAATAATAATAATAATAATAATACCAACATGTCTCAGTACACTTGTCAGTGACTTCATGGATTTGTGCCATGTTTTGGTCTAGCCGCCCCTAGCTTTCTTTTAACCTACTCCTACACTCTAAAACATCGCACGTCGAGGCAGTCGGTGGTCGGGCGTACGTAACACATGTCCCAGCCATCTCAACTGATGAAGTTTCACTACTTCATCAGTTGATTCGCCATCCTTACCTAGTACCCGTTTCCTAACAACTGCATTACTTACTCGGTGGTCCCAGAATATACGAGCAATGTTTCGAAGACATCTATGGTCAAATACTAGTATCCTACGATTATCCTCTACTCTTACCGGCCATGTTTCACTGCCATAAAGTAGGATGGAACGAACTGCTATGCAGTAAACTCGTCCTTTGGTTGATAGACGGATATCTCGCTTACGCCACAAATGACGCAAGTTGGAAAAAACTAGTCGAGCCTTCTGTATCCGTGCTGAGATTTCGTCACACACCAGACCACAAGGGCTGATGAGATTTCCGAGATAAGTGAATCGGTCGACACGCTCAACTACTTCACTCCCTATCACTAGTTCGGGTGCCGATGCAACCCAGTCCTGAAGCAACATTTTGCATTTCGAGGGAGAGAATCGCATCCCGAAAATGCATGCATTGTTGCTTAGAGTGGTCAGCAGAACTATGTCATCGGCATATTCTAGGTCAAAAAGTGAATTTCCCGGTAGAAGTTCAACCCCTGGAAATTCAGATGTGGAAAGTGTTATCTCTAAAAGCACGTCAACGACAAAGTTAAACAAGAATGGAGAGAGTGGACAGTTCCGACGAACACCTTGAGGTAATCAGTTCTGATGACAGTTTGTCATAAGCTCTCACTCGACCAGTTAGTTGTGCTCGAGTAGAGAGCCTTTATAAGGTTAATGTACTTCTTTGGTACTCCTTTCAGTGACAAACACTGCCATAAAACTTCACGATCAACAGAGTCGAATGCCGCCTTAAGGTCGAGAAATACTACGATTGTGGAGCGTCTGAATGTGTGTCTATGTTCTAGGACCTGAGGTTGTGTAAATAAATACCACGTCCAGGTCGAAAACCAGCCTGGTTTTCTCTAGTCTGCTCTTCACGAGCTTTGGTTAGGCGTCGAAGTAATATTGAAGCTAATATTTTAGACACTATATTAGTCAAACTAATTCCTCTGTGATTGTCACAGGAGGACTTTTGTCCTTTCTTATAGACTGGTACAATCAGTGATTGAGACCAGTCAGATGGGATTACGTCCAGTTCCCAGATTCTACCTAAGACCTCAGTCAATCTCGCTGCTAATACTGGACCACCATCCTTAAAAATCTCGGGGGTAAACCTGTCAGGCCTGCTGCTCTCCCACGCTTCAGATTTCCTATAGCTTTTTCAACTTCGTAAAGAGTCTGAGGACTTACATCAACTTGCCATTCAGGTCGACTGGAGATCGTGGGAAACCGAAGTGTGGCTGAAGGCCAGTTGAACTGATCCCTAAAGTATTCTGCCCATCGGTCCAATCTCCTGGATTGAGAATGAATAATATGTCCATCTTTTTCTGAGATAGTTTCACTAACAGTTGGGTTCCTAATACCGGTTTCCTTAACAAGTCTGGACAGTTGTCTGCTATTAACTATTGCCGCTGCCTTTTCCATCTCTCTTGCTTTCGCTACCCACCACTGTTCACGATCATCGTGTAGGCTTCTTGTCAGCTTACGTTTAACCGGACTCCGCTCTTCGTTATGTTCAGAGCCAGATGGAATGAGTTTCCGAGCATCTATCAGTACGGTAGATGCTGCTGAGATCCAGTGTTTCTCCCTAACCTTATGGTTTACCGTACTTGCAGACATCACTGCTGTTTCTACAGCTTTTCGGATGTCATTCCACGCTGCCTCGGGGTGGGCATCACATACATGGCTGCCTAACTGTTTTTCTAGTTGTTCCTGAAATATACTCTTAGCTTGACTATCATTAAGTAGGGCCCCAAATGTTTTCCTTGCGGCGTCTTTCCTACGTCCAGTAAAACGCAGAAAAATGCGCGCTCGCTCTAGAGCATGATCTGAGTCTAAGCATGTACTCGAAAGTGAGCGACAGTCTTATATCGAGCCCCTACATCAGTGGCTGATAGCGATGTTATCTATTTAGGTCCATTGTTGGGACGAATTAGGGGGTCGCCTTATGCTTAAAGTTAGTATTTGCTAGAAAGAGGCGGTTATCTGAGCATAGCTGCAACAGACGGTGGCCATTATCTGTTCTTTGAGCCACGACACAATAAGATCCATTCAGGTGTTTTTCCCTTTCGCTTAGTTTACCTACTTGAGCATTAAAGTCATCAGCCACTATTACTACATCAGAGGGCCTAGCTTTTCGGAGGAGGTCGGAAAGCTTCCTGTAAAACTCATCTTTTACATCACTAAGCTGCAATTAGTGGGAAAATAGGCAGAGACGACGAATAGGCAACGACGAGTGTCCTTACTGTTCCGTTTAGTCGGACAGCGCACAAATGACTTGCTGCTGGGATCCAGTCTAAGTGAGCTAGTTCTCCCTAGGACTCAATGTTATACCTACGTCAGCGAGGCCACGGGAAGCAGCATCAGGGCTTCCAGATACATGAAGCGTAATTCGAGTTGGTTCGTTACTTTGACATGGTGAGGTCAAATGAATGACACTACTCGGAACCTGTATGCGCGTTTCGGAGACGCAGCACACATCGATGGAGCGAGATTCTAAAGTCCTAGCTAAGGAAGCCTGTTGTCCTATTTGGCACAGTGTTCGGACGTTAAAAGCTCCTACGTGTAGTTTAGAGCGTGGTTTCAGGAGGCCAGGAATAACGTTCCGCGTACTCGAATCGTTCGGACTAGCCGTGCGAGGTGATAAAGGGACGTGAGAAGGGTTAGTCGTGGAGATAAGAGAGTTATTAGGAGGTGTAGGAAGGATTTAAATGTGACCAACTTGGTCTCGTGTGTTGTTACGGGTATGAGGGCTGATGTCACTTTTCGGTTGCCCACACCATGGGAGGGTATTTTTTGAGGAACCTGAAAAGGAAATCGGGTCAGTGGTAGTCTTAACGACCTGGGAGCGTGATCGCAGAGTCCAAGGGACAACCGCTTGAGGCCGGTCGCGCACAGCCTTTTCGTGGGAGGTTTTTGACGTGTTAGCTTCGTTCTTCAAACGGCCTAACCGCCGGAGACGGAAATCCGTGGGGTAAGGTGAGGTGTGACATTTTTAGGGTCGACTTTTTCTAACCTCTTCCTTCCTTGTGAGAAGACAGCATCGCTGCAAATGCTGGTTGTCCGAGGGAAACACCTTACTGCTGTCACACGCCTCTACAGTCATCAGCTCCAATCGACCTGCCTGGCATGGTAGAATCTACATGAAAATATGTTCCAGCCAATATAGCTCGGTTGGGTCATCATGATGGGCAAGCCCGACCACCGCGTCCAGGTGGCAGCTACGGTCGGGCAACACGTTAGTAGCTATCTGGACTCAGTAGTTTGATAGATAACATTGCATTTGTAGCAAGGATGACTAGGTTCGAGTTGCAGTTTTAAAATATAGATGCATCCGCCTGACGAGCCCTGGATTGGACAAAGCACCCATCTTGGATTCCATTCCTAGTCATAATTGATTTTACTAAATTTA